GGCCCCTCCACCTTCAAAAAGACTTGACCTTAAACTGGACCTGCACCCTGATCCGACCGTCTTAACAGTCATGAAGCTTAACCAGGCATTAAATCTTCTTGCAAAACTTGAAACCAAAGCTCTAATGAAGCATGTAGTTACTTAAAGTTCATTAGCAGTGCCATTTCTGACGCTAGCACCATGTACTGATGGAAAAGTGTTAACATGAGTGAAGGAGGAACACATCTGAAAAGTGAAAGAGGAAAACGCTTGTGATCTCACCTTCCCTAAGAGCTTTTGAACAGCTTGAGCAATAACGGGAAAATCACCTCACTTGAATGTGCGGCATTCAGGTCTGAGTCCTATCAGTCAAAGGCTGTCAGACTCCCCTATCTAATCTTCGCCTCTCCATATAAAACCTTTTATAGGTGCCTTATATGCTTGACATTTAATTAATGTTTCAGTCATGTGTGCAGGAGAGTGCTGACAGCGAGCCAATAACACTGGATCTTGGAAATCAACTGTCATGAACTGAGTTTGACTCTTTTCCCCGTCTCAGTCCTGGCTCATAATGCTGTTCACATGCTCCCTGTCTTATTTGCATATCATGCTGTGGCTCCACTCTCAACATAAGAACAACTTGATGTGAACCTCCTGACCTTGTTTCCAGTTGATGATGAGGGAACAGGAGGTGACCATGTTCTCACAGAGATTCTTCCTTACTTGCCTACATCAGCTGATCGCGTTGACCTGGGATTCCTCCACCTCTCCCACCCCTCTGCATATTAATGAAGAGAAGATGAAAGGGAGCCAGACAGAATTAACGCTGCCTCTCCAACTCAAGCACATATAGGAACCAGCAAATCCGAGCTGTCTTTGAAATGGCACATTCACAGGTCCAGCTGGCCAAAGTTGGAGTAGTCTGGTCTAGTCAGAGTACAGACTTTAGTGTTCCCACGCAGGTCTGATTCAGTCATTAGTCACCGTAAAACTGCGGTACTGATGAGTGTGTTTTATGATCATTCCATCGAGGAAACATTTCCCATCGTTTTAATCAATAGTGTTGTGCAAGGTAAACACATTATTCATAACATCAGAAGACTGAAATGCCGCCTCCATCCACTAATCAACTGCAACATGAGGACAAAAACATGCTGATGTTTGACAAAGATCTGCTTTGCTTCATGTGAAATCAGATTATACCTTTTCATTTTAGAATGAATCTAAAGCTTCCTCTCAGAGAGGAAGGGCAGGTGAGTTTAAGGATCCTCACAATATCATTTTTTTTTTCAAACTGGCAAAGCTATGAGGGATTGTGCTCAGTTTTTCAATTCAATTCAAGTTTATATATATAGCAAGCCGTCTCAAGGCACTTCACAGAGTAAACATTCCAATACAGGTCAGTTCATTAAGACAAACAGTAAAAGGTTTCCTATATGAGGAACCCAGCAATTTGCATCAAGTCACTGACTAGTGTCAGTGACTTTACAGCAATCCTCATAGCAAGCATGTGGCGACAGTGGAAAGGAAAACTCCCTTTTAACAGGAAGAAACCTCCAGAGGATCCTGGCTCAATATAAGCAGCCATCCACCACGACTCACTGGGGATCGAGAAGGCAAAGCACACACACACACACACACACACACACACACACACACACACACACACCCACCAAGTAATGTGTCTATAGTTATATTGTGATTTCTTAGTAAATATTCTAGTTGGTGAGAGATAAACTTTATTGTATTTATCCTAGTGGATCTATAATTAAACGGGTAAACTAGTAGTAGCACATCCAACGTCAAAGACAGTAAAATGTTATTATCAGGAGAGGGAGAATGTTTAAGTGGTTAGCAGCAGGCTGCAAGCTGATGGCCCCCTCCATGAGGCTACCACAGCTCAGCAGAACACCATTGTAGCTTCTTCTGGGGAGAAAAATGTCACAATCCGTCCTGTCTCCCCAGTTTCTGTTCAGTCCTGTGTCATGTTAATTACTCCCACCTGCCTCTCGTCTCCCAGTCACTCAAGGTCCCAGCTCCTCATGCATTTAAACCCTCACCTGCACGTGACAAAACACACTTAGAGAAAAAATAAAGTTAACAGCAGAAATTGTAGGAAATAATGCAATGAAGAAATAAATTGTAGAAGAAAGTAGTAGAGTGTGGAAAGTGCTTCGTGTGTCCTCCAGCAGTCGAAGCCTATAGCAGCATAACTACAGAGATAACTCTGGAAACCTCGCCTTTTAGATGGAGGCATGATGGAGGCAGGGCAAGAGAGAGCCGTCTTTTTATCTGCGCACCCAGGTCCACCCACTTTGTACCAGGGCCCACACTCACAGGACTTCCTTAAAAAAATGTATATTTTATTTTGGAAGGGTGTCCTTTCAGGCCATCATACAATAAAATGAAATAGGAGCAACATTTAAATTAACGGTATCTTCTGATATATAATCATCCTGACCACAGCATTTCAGCATGCTGTCAATAACTAACGCTGAGTAGAGTAGGGCCATTTCTCGGAATCCAAGTACATAAGTATGCTGGTGTGTATTTGACCAGAATGTACAGCAGAATGTCGGTTCTACCGAGTGTGGGAGTACAAGGACGGCGTTTGGAACAGAACTGTATTTTATATCATGGGAACAAACGCTGCTTCTATCTACAGTAAAAAAAGACCTAAAATAAAAACAAATGGGCTGCGCTGGTTTTATTCTGATAAAGGTTTAGCTAATTACTATTTTGTGATATCGTGAAAAGTGAAAAATATATAAATAAAGTATATAAATAAACTTGAATTGAATTGAATTGTAAAGTACTTGGGCCAGTGTTGTTGACATTTCACAAGTGCGCCAGTACACAAGTTCAGACATGTACGCATATTGAGAAACGCCCAAGATTTCTGCAGACCCACATCTTAATAAAATGGTGTTCTACTTGTGAATAAGCACCAAGGTGAACAAAAATGTAAATCTGTGCTTGACTTCATGCAAATCCGTCTTGCATACACATAGTCATTTCAGCCCAGATGGGAAACTGCTAAATTAGCTTCTAATGACAATTAAATCTGATTATGAACAAGTAGTTACCCAAGCTACAGCTCAACCACATCCTGACAACTAACATTCATCACATTTCAGTATGAGAATCCTTTTAGTAAAAACTTGATGAGATACTCAAGAGTTGCTTTCTTTTCATCTCAGGAATCGGCGGTAGATGGAAATAATGTGCTAGCCATGAACGTGAAAGCTGTGGCTTATTGTTAAATGCATATTTAAAGTAAATTCAATTATCTATTAGTTTATGGAATTTTTGTCATTCATTATCTTCAAACACTAGCTTCAATGTCTTTCAGCTTTTTAATTATTGCGCCATGAATTTGCTCTGCACAATCCAATACTTCAGCTTTTATGTGTTATACGAGTGCTTTTATCCTTGTTTTCATTAAATCTACAAACACGGCCCAAATTACATTTTCTCTCCTCCATCTCAGGTAAGTTTGACAGCAGATATAAAACCCATAACAACCTTCTCCCCTATGGTGATGCTATTGCAAGGGAATATGGCAGCTGCCTGCAGCCTTTGATTTCATCTTGCCCCAGATCTGCATTGTAATGAGAACTCGGGTCAATCAATAATTCACAGCAGTCTCACTTAGGAAAAAGAAAATACCAAAGGAAGAAAAAAACAGATCAGCTCATGGGTGAAACAGGAACGGGACTTTGATCTGTGCCATTAGACGCACACATACAGATGCTCTCTCTGTTGTATTTGTCAACATCGAGAGACGCAGAGGAAAGAAATGTACCTGTACACGTCTGATCAAGGTTAAGTATTTGACTGACTTACATTCAACTATGACATGTACTTTATATGTCCCTGTGTGTATGTGTGAGAGAGTGTGTGTGTGTATGTCGACTCCAAGTTTAGAGTTGAAAGAATTGATTCTTATTTGAAAAATCATGCTGTGAGTTTGGCTTTTTTGTGCCTCAAAGTGCTGCATTTTTCCCTCTTTCGAATAAATATAGTTCTCACTGAAACATCACCATTATATATGAACATGCTGAGAAAAGCTGTGAGTTTTATTTGTCTGAAAACACAGAAACCATGCTAAACAGTGACATGGGTACATGAAACAATATTTTGAGAGCTGGTATGCTACTACATATTAAAAGAGGACAAAATAGTTTTAGTTTTTTTCAAATTTGTAACTGTTAAGTGGCTGCATGGTGGCGCAGTGGTTAGCACTGTTGCCTCGCAGCACGAAGGTCGCAGGTTCAAAAACTTGCCTTTCTGCGTGGAGTTGCGTGTTCTCCCCATGCATGCGTGGGTTTCCTCCGGGTACTCCGGTTTCCCCCACACATCACAACATGCCCTACAGGTTATAAAAATAAAAATAAAAACTTGTACGTCGCTTTGGATAAAAGCGTCTGCGAAATGAATAAACATAAACATAAACATAAGTCATTTATAAATGTAATTGGATTGTAATCTGGTACTGATAGCCATCGTATGCCTATGCACATTTTATACCAGGAACTAATGGCATTATTGTCATTTCGGTCTAATCTTAAGAGTGTTAGCTGTGAGAGTTTTAGTTGTCGACTCTCTCAATGTATTGCTCGCTCATTTTCTCACAGAGACAATAAAGCCACACATTCCCTTTTGCAGACCCAGGGACAATTCAGCCAATAATTTTAACAAACATATTTTTGGTCTGTGGGAGTAAATCAGAGTACCTGGAGAATACCTGCACATGCAAACGTGCAAGTTTTCTTGCAGAAAGGCTGCAGACAAGATTGGAACTTGCAATCTTCTCAATGCATGACAACAGTGCTTTCATCTGCTCCACCATGCTGCCCACTTGCAGCTCAATATCTGCAACATTTACTGTAGTTATCAGTCTTGTTGAATAATGCCGAGTAAAAAGTGTTAATCCAACAGTTGTTTTGAGTCAGTGGTTAATGAGATTTTCTGTTTCTCACACCACTCATCTTTTATTTTCTCTTTTTATACGTCCACAGTTCCCCCAGATGACCCCGTCATCAGTGGGGCGCCAGTGGTGAGTTTACGAGCTGGTGACCCTCTCAATCTGACCTGCCACGCTGATAACGCCAAACCTGCAGCCTCCATCATCTGGATCCGTAACGAAGAGGTCCTTAACGGGGCCATGTACTCCAAGGTAAGCTCAGAGGTGTGTGTCATCATCAGGTACGTATAGGTGGCTGGAGAGGGTGGTGAGACTTTGCAGTGTGCTTGAACTTCCCTTAAGTTTAATAATGTTTTTCATCTACTTATGTTGTAGAAGTAAATTAGCCTGGATAGCCATCCTGTACGTGTAAATGTATAGTCCGGCCACAAACTATGAACAGAGCTCAGTCATGGGGTGGACTCTACGGTTGCCTTTGAAATTGTCTCTGCACACATTTAGACAGCGCTAGGACCAATCAGAGCAACAAAACAACATGACAAATTCAAAGCAACATAATTCAGTCAACAGGGCAATCCTCCATCTTTTTTCTAAAAGTGTTAGGGGTTAAGAAATTGAAATGACATACCTGATGCTGCAGTCTGCCTCCAGCACCTTTCCTGCAACTTTTAGGTCATGAACACAGCTGATTTGTTTAATTTAGTGATGACTGACTCCTGTAGACACTAAGGAAGGCTGGGGAGACATTTCTGCAGTTAGATTAGGGTCCTAAAAAGACCACCGCACAACGAGAAGATAGATTTTGCTTTTGGTTCTAAAAATGAACACTAGGTGGAGCTAAAAGAAAGCCAAAATTGCCTAGTTCCCCTTTTAAAAGTCTCTGAAATACAATAAAACTGTGCAAACACAACAGTAAATACACTATCTTGGACCAGATATGTGACTGTAATGGTGGCAGGACACCCCAGAAAGCTCTACACCCTCTGTTGTCCTGGTGGGGAACCGCTTTGCAGCATTCCCCAGATGATGGAGAAGTCTGAAGAGAAAACATCTCTGCCAATGTGTGTGTGCGACTCCGCACTCAAGCTGACGGAGATGTATAAATGAGGCTTAAGCCTTCCCAACGCACTGTGCACTGTGATTGGCCAATGCCATTGGAAGATGAGCTGAGACTACAATAAAGCGTGGCTAGACTGATCTGCAGAGTAAACGTTTTTGCTGCTGCTGCTACGGATTGCCTAGATTTCTAGGCTAGAAGTAAACATGTTTCCAACAAATCCCTTTGCCGTAGAACACTCTAGCACAGCATGAAGTGCTTTTGAAATATTTAGGATTTTGCCCCCATCACTTGTGGGTGTTTGTCAGCCTTCAGATTACTTTCTGAAATGATACTCCTTAGAAGAAACGGTGTGTTTAGATTTTTTACAATGAAAAGCAACCCCCCCCCCCCCCCCTCTCTCTCTCTGGTATACAAATCAAGCAAGACAAGCAGGGCAGGAAGCTATCAATAACTTTGCTCCGCTTTATAGTGTTTTGATTTCCATCTTATCCCTTTGACCCATCAGAGTCAACATTAAGATATTGGATGCAGGGTTCTTCCTAGAGATGATGTGGTGTCATTCTCCATGACAGATTGTCCTCCCACTTCTGGTGTTGCTACACACAATTATCATGTTCTGGTCAGTTGAATACATTTACCATTGAATGGTGCCATCCTCAAGTCTAATCACCCATTTAAATCTGTTATTTTGGTTTAAACAAAGCACATAAACAGAAAGGGCACTTAAGAGCACCAGCACCGCCCCAGCCTTCCCTCTCCCTCTCTGTGCTGCCTCATCCCATTATTGGCTTTTTTCAGAGCAGATAAATGCCATTGATTGGGCTGAGGTACGGCACCAGGCACTTTTGAATAAAGTGATTGCTGGAGGTGCTGTTTGCTAATGGTAGGCGGAGAGTGTCCTTTCCTACCTTCACATCCTCAGAGTGAAGGCTGACATGAAGACATTCAGGACCAGTAGGTGAAGGATGCTCACACGCTCCCACTGAGCTCACAGGGCTTTCTCCCCTCTTAGCTCTATTGCTCAACATTAAAAGGCAATGGGTTCAATTAAAGAAAGATGACTTTTTGGGGGTCTGTGGAGCAGCAAGGGGGACATTCTGCAAGCATAATCATCTGCTCTGATGGTCTTCTACCTTCCCATCGATGAAGAGGTCTAATGTGAGCAGATGTGGTGGAGGATTCACTGAGATGGCTTTCCTGATGGTGTCACATGTAATGATAGTTCTGACCCTAAGATAATTTCCCGCCACTGGCATCGGAAACCATGTCTCTGTGACCTGGTAGTAGACTTTATTTACAGAAATAGTGATTAAGGGCAGAGTAAAAGTTACCATTTGGAAGAAATGTGTGTTAGTTTAAAGCACATTAAAGGGTTGCCACATTAGTGAGGGCAGGAAATAACTGCACAGTGCAAGAGAGGGGCCTCACTATACAATTAAGATGAAGAAGAGGATCCCATTAGAAATCAAGGCTGTTCCTGTAAGACCGCTCTGACAGAATAAATCAGTAGTTACAGAGTTTTTATTCTCAATGTGCTAAAAATGTTCAACGGCTTTAATGGCAAAGTAAGAGGAAACATTCTTGCTACCAAAGTAATTTCAGAAAATAAAAGCTGATCATTTTATGGTTCATGTTTGCTCATAGGAATCAGAGAGGACCATCACCGTCTCCTGGCTTTGCTGCAAAGTCATGCCAGAGTTACCGCTGCTAAAACTGTTTATATGAATGTGGTTGTTTTTAAGCTAAAAAGCAGCAATCTTGCTTATTTTATTTACTTATTGTTTCATTTTAACTTCCTGCGAAGTGCCCTTGGCAGCAACATTTCCTTAACATATCATTTCACCATTAGGACTTTGGTGATTTTTATATTTTTATTAGTTATCAGTTCTATTTTTCTCTTGAGATATCCTACAAAGATGGAAATATATATTATGTTAATTAAAGACCTAGGTCTAATGTTGTACGTCAAAAGTGTCTTTACTTTCAGTGGTAAATGTTTTCTTTTAATAGATTCAACAGATTTTTGCATTGTAATTAAACCTAAACTGTTTATCGTCACTCGAGACATCGGCAAATTGTTTTCAGTGATCTGCTACAATTGATTCTTTGACATGAAAAAAAAAGCTAGTTAAATATATTTAGTCTTCTGCATGAAAAAAAATATTGTCTAATTATAAAGCAGTTACAGTATCTGTTTTAAGTAAAGGGGACCTGGTGTGCAGAATTATAAATGGCTGATTTGAGAAATGTTTTATTTCCAAACCTTGGGTGATCTCAGACGGTGACTTTGGCCTTTTTCTTTATGCAGGTCACGTCACTTCACAACATCATTCCTTAAAGTTTCTGAATTTGTTCTATTTTATGTGGCTTTGGCAAATGAAAGAAAAAATAAAATTCTGTGTGGCTTTCCAATTACAAGTTAGATGTCATGTCATCAGAATAGAATTATTATGCAAAACTATTCAGACACATTAGCAAAAAAAATTATGTTGTTGGCCAAAAATAATTGAACATGTATAAATGAATCAGCAGCACCATTAATAAAAAATAAACCCAAGAGCCATTGAGCGTAAACAGAGCTAACGGTAAATGAGTGTGACTAAACATGTCAGGTAGGATTTAAAGGACTCTCTCTACAAACAAGTTTTAAACGATTACGTTTTTCATCAGAATTTATTGGTATTCTAACTCTCCTGCAGAAATGAGAGTGAGATGTAATTTTGAAATTTGCTAAGAGACATTTATTTTTGGAACATAACTCTCATTCTAGTCATTGTTGTAAATATATTTGTAACTTGTTGTACATGCACTAAATGCACAACATTTAGATTCTGGAAAGTTTTCTCTTTCTTTGTTAAATCAGATATTGCCATGCCAAAATATATACAGGTCCTTCTAAAAAAATTTGTTTATTGTGATAAAGCTCATTATTGTCTGTAATGTACTGATAAACATTTGACTTTCATATATATTAGATTCATTACACACAACTGAAGTAGTTCAAGCCTTGCATTGTTTCTAATATTGATGATTTAGGCGTACAGCTCATGAAAACCCAAAATTCCTATCTCAAAAAATTTGCATATTTCATCCGACCAATAAAAGAAAAGTGTTTTTAAGACAAAAATAGTCAACCTTCAAATAATTATGTTCAGTTATGCACTCAATACTTGGTCGAGAATCCTTTTGCAGAAGTGACTGCTTCAATGCGGCGTGGCATGGAGGCAATCAGCCTGTGGCACTGCTGAGGTGTTATGGAGGCCCAGGATGCTTCGATAGCGGCCTTAAGCTCATCCAGAGTGTTGGGTCTTGCGTCTCCCAACTTTCTCTTCAGAATATCCCACAGATTCTCTCTGGGGTTCAGGTCAGGAGAGTTGGCAGGGCAATTGAGCACAGTAATACCATGGTCAGTAAACCATTTACCAGTGGTTTTGGCACTGTGAGCAGGTGCCAGGTCATGCTGAAAAATGAAATCTTCATCTCCATAAAGCTTTTCAGCAGATGGAAGCATGAAGTGCTCCAAAATCTCCTGATAGCTTGCTGCATTGACCCTGCCCTTGATAAAACACAGTGGACCAACACCAGCAGCTGACATGGCACCCCAGACCATCACTGACTGTGGGTACTTGACACTGGACTTCAGGCATTTTGGCATTTCCCTCTGCCCAGTCTTCCTCCAGACTCTGACACCTTGATTTCCAAATGACATGCAAAATTTGCTTTTGTCCGAAAAAAGTACTTTGGACGACTGAGCAACCATTGCTGCTTCTCTGAAGCCCAGGTCAGGCGCTTCTGCCACTGTTTCTGGTTCAAAGGTGGCTTGACCTGGAGACTGCGGCACCTGTAGCCCATTTCCTGCACACGCCTGTACACGGTGGCTCTGGATGTTTCTACTCCAGACTCAGTCCACTGCTTCTGCAGGTCCCCCAAGGTCTGGAATCGGTCCTTCTCTACAATCTTCCTCAGGGTCCGGTCACCTCTTCCCGTTGTGCAGCGTTTTCTGCCACACTTTTTCCTTCCCACAGACATCCCACTGAGGTGCCTTGATACAGCACTCTGGGAACAGCCTATTTGTTCAGAAATTTCTTTCTGTGTCTTACCCTCTTGCTTGAGGGTGTCAGTGATGGCCTTCTGGACAGCAGTCAGGTCGGCAGTCTTACCCATGACTGCGGTTTTGAGTAATGAACCAGGCTGGGAGTTTTTAAAAGCCTCAGGAATCTTTTGCAGGTGTTTAGAGTTAATTAGTTGATTCAGATGATTAGGTTAATAGCTCGTTTAGAGAACCTTTTCTTGATATGCAACATTTTTGAGATAGGAATTTTGGGTTTCCACGAGCTGTGTGCCAAAATCATCAATATTAGAAACAATAAAAGGCTTGAACTACTTCAGTTGTGTGTAATGAATCTAATAAATATGAAAGTCTAATGTTTATCAGTACATTACAGAGAATAATAAACTTTATCACAATATGCTAATTTTTTTAGAAGGACACATACACACACACACACACACACACACACACACATATATATATATATATATATATATATATATATATATATATATATATATATATATATACATACATATATATATATATATATATATATATATATATATATATATATATATATATATATAACAAGTTTGTTGTTTTGTCCAAACATGGCTATTTTAGCTCTGAGATCTCTTTACGTAAGCTTCTGGCTGTATATCAAACAATTATCAATTTGTGATGTGAAAAGGGGTTGAATAGCGTGCCGCTGCCAGCTAGCCCCCTTTCTAAGATTAATGACTGCAGACAGGTCCAGAGCGATGAGGGAAACAATCCCGATTGTGTCACAAAGGATATTACATTGACATAGCCCGCATCTGACAGCTAATGCGTTCTGCTTTAGAAGTGACTCAAGCACAAATATGAATTTCATCACATGGCTCTTCACATACAAAAGAGGCTCCACAGAGCATTGGATCTATAATGTTATTTTCCTTCTAAGCAGTCTATAGAGCAAGAAAAAAAAACCTGTACATTTCCCACCTCTGAGGTAAAGATTCTCTAATTTTATTTTCACTCAGGAAGTACTTCGAGGTGCTGGAACTACAAAGTGATGAGCTGAAAAGATTTCTGGTAAAATGTCATTTTACAAGTTCGTTGACCTGAGTTTGAGAGAAAGGTTTTCTTTTGTGGGAAGATGGCATATAGTCAGATCAGGGTTTTCTTAAATTAGAACCTTTGCATTAGAGGGAAAATAATGAGTGGATAATTATTACCTGTTTGTTCTTTGATAATGAGCCATGGGTTGAAAGGTAGTAGTACACGTCTATAATGCCTTGGTTAGCTGCCTGGAAAGTTTTGTGTTGGTAATGTGCAGTAGAAGTTACATTAAACTGTATTATTTTTATTCACGGTAGTAAACGGTCTAATGTGCTTCCCTGCCATGGTCGATGTGTATAAATACATCAGTTCAGTCTTTTCACTTCAAGGTCAGGTCCTGTCCCAGGAGGCTTGGAGCTAAAAGGTTCTATGCAGAGATCTTTGAGGTTGCTCTGGAAATCTGTTGGACTCACTCCTTCAGTGTTGGGTCCCTTCTTTGCGTGGCACCAACATTCCAAACCTCTCCATGCCCTCTTTCCGTCATTGTAATATCTCAAGCCTCTGGAGTTCCTTACTTGATCTTAAAGGTACTTGATGAGAGAGCAAAGCAGGAATGAGATCCTGTGGTCAAATGTAGGTATTTCAGTCCATTTTCAAAACAAACAAGTGACTTTCTCACTACCTTTCTGTGAGTTTCATGGTTGTTGGCTGGTATGAATCAATGCCAGAGAATTTGAGAGGACAATCGAAGATGATTCACACTCAACTAGTAAGTTGATAATTAGATTAATATATTTTAACCGTAATATTGAGTTGCTGGTTACTAAAACGTGAGATATTTTTAAACCTGACTATTTGCTCCTATTCACCGTTAGCATTGTTAGCTCAACATTAGTTTTTAGCCTTCTATTATATTAGAGCAAAACAAAAGGATGCCGTGGCTTCTTGGTGGTACAAGAAATATTTTATGAGCTGCTCCTTTTATGTGAAATGTGAAGCACTGGCTGGTGCAGACTTGAAAGCCCTGCAATCCCACAGATTGAAAACAGTGACTATGTCTGTCTTTGGCTTTTTTAAAGGAGAAAACTGACCTCCCCCCAGCAGACTGAGAAGGAAGTCTGTTTAAATCTAAACATCCTTCCAACATAATTAGGACAGAAGATGGGTTTGTGATTATTTCCATTGTAAAAATTGCACTTTTATGTACATTTAATATTGTTGTCACATCACAATGACCATCATCAGTTTGGAAGTCAGAATTATTTAGTCTGATGGTACCTTAAATGGCATTTGCCAAGCCTTATTAGTGGTTATCTGGCAATTGTAAGGTTGTGGTTCAATCTGAGCTTTTTCTTCTACATGTCGAAGTGTCCCAAACAAAATGTTGAACTCTCAAGCCCCAGACTTTTAAATGCATGTGTGTGTAAAAGGTTGGCTGTGTGGAGTGGTGAGAAGGTTGTACATAAATGATGACCATTTATCACCACTCTAATTGCTGTTTGGCTCCGCCTTACTTGGCGGTGCTTCCCATTTGGACCATGTAGCCCACAGTTCCTACTCAGTAAAGATGTTGCTGCACATTATGCTAGCAACATGGCTTTCTTTGTTCTCTCAATCTCAAGTCCCACTCTTCTGTACTGGACTGTCTCAGGGGTAACTTAGTACATCACCCTGGGCTCTGTCTGGTGTGGTAAACCTCGATTTCTGCTCTGGTGCTGTCATCATCAGTACCTCTGTTTTCTGCCCTTCAATCAAGCCCTTGGAATCCACTTGTAGGAATACTAAATATCATCCACTTCCTCATGATTCCAGAGGTGTAGGTTATTTCAGGACTTATCTTTGGTAGTTATATATCTATCTATCTATCTATATATATCTATCTATCTATATATATATATATATATATATATATATATATATATATATATATATATATATATATATATATATATATATATACATACACTGGAAAGCAGCATTGAGTCTGTTTCAAAGAGATGGCTCAGAAAGGCTGTTTGTCTTCGTGGTTGACCACTCCACCACTCCACTGCCCACACGATTTGTTCTGTTCAGTGACTTTGTTCTGTCCTGCAGTCTTTAACATAAACTCCTAGAGCCCTTCTCTGAGCGTTTGAGTCTGAGTGAGAGCTGCTGAGCGCTACCAACCGATTCCAGATGGCTTCTACAATGTAGAGCTCAGAGGATGAGCTCTGAAAAGAAGATTGATTTCCTTTGTGGAGTATGACAAGCCATGCACTGGAGCGCAGCTCTCCAGACACACAAAGGAAACACAGAAAATATATTTCAGATATGTTTTATTTATTTTGTTCATTTCCTATCAGCTTGCTTTGCAGTATAACTACAGGCCAGAATGTTCTGATGGGTTTTCTCTGTTTCCCCAAAGGAGCTCATGTGTGTATTCAGGACTTGCTTGCCATTTTTCCCTCTTTTTGACTGTTTTTCTTTGTTTTTGTATTTCAGACCTTCTTTCCCAGCACCTATGGATTAAAGTATTTGTCCTACCTCTTTTTTCTGATTTCATAGCTTAAATGGCTCAAATTCCCAACTTGAATTTGGTTCATTTGAAGCTACATTTCAACATCCCCTGGATTCAAAGTTTTTCAAAAGTTTAGAGTTTTCTGCCTGAAACCAAAATAGTTGGGCTTGTGTCAATAGGCGGTGAAACGGTTCAAGCACAACACTGCACATTAGAGACCAAACACTTTTGGCTTTCCTTCACTCTGTACTTCTTCTTCCCTCTTCAGACATTGCTCCGAGATGGCAGGAGAGAGAGCACCGTGAGCACGCTCTACCTTTCGCCTTCCAACATCGAGACAGGTCAGCAGATCATCTGTAAGGCCTCCAACAAGGCGGTACCCAACGGAAAAGAGACCAGCGTCATGATTGACATTCAACGTAAGATCCTGTCTCTTGTCTGCTAATATTTTCTGAAGGTTGTCTTTTAGGTTTAAATGTGTTGGTGAAAGAAATGAAGAAAAAAATTCTTGATGGAGGTGATTCAGTATCAGAGAGATTGCAGATTCATGAGGCGAGACACACGGCGAACACGCTCAAACAACGAAAAATATCTGTTGAGGCTTTAATTGGTATTTATAATTGGTTTCCTTTCTTTCTTGCATGCCATCGAGGTAAATCAATTTGTAATGCACAATTTTTTGGTTTATTATGATAAATATAAAAAGTTTCCATCCATCTAAAACGAACGAACGTTCCCTTTGTCTTCCATACCTGCTTGCCATGTAAGAGTATAAAATCTCCCCACCTCTTGTATTCCCTCCCTCATGCCATCAATCTCTTTGATGTGGACATCCACAATTTCCTTCCAAAATAGGCTAAGTAAGCCCAGCGTGTAAAACACATTCAGACTCAATTTTTAGAGAATGCATTTTTTTTATATTTTTGATCAAGAACTGCTCACAGTAAGAGAACGGTTCAGAACAATAGGATTTTGTATCACTTCCAGCCTCTTCAACACCATTAAGTATGACTAATAAAGCAGAAAATGCTATTTAGAGGACCATTATGACTGACGGCTCCATTCTTTTTATTATGCACATGGCTAGATGGGCGAATGGCACGAGCGGGCACAGCACAATCAGGCCAACTCAAGCGCGGGAGGAAAAATGATTAACAGTTGTTAGTGTTTGCAACCCTTGCAGTTTATGCTCTTCATTTCTCGTCGTGCAGTCAGAGAGGGAAGTCTGCCCACATGTAAACTGATTTGTCACCATGTATAATGATGTGTCTGTGATAAATGCTCGCCATCGTAACATCATCCCTGCTCAAGAATGTTTGATTTAATCCCGGAAAAAGAGGAAACGGGTGGCACGGATTGCCTAATTAGCATTCCGAAATGTCGTCTTTACACAATTAAAACTCCTGAAAACATTTTTCACAGTGTGAGATCAAAGCAAGTGACAGCAGAGACTAATTGTCGAGATCCAAACTGTCTTCCACAAGGCTAAGGCTCTCAGCTCCCTCCTCCTCCTCCCCCCACCCACCTTCAATGATTTGACAGGTAGTGTGCAGCAGAGTTCAGCGGAGCCTTCGGAGTTTGAACAGAGAAGAGGAGCTGCTCAAATGAAGCTGCCTCTGGAATGCAATATGCTACAAATGAGCGCTGATCTATCTGAGTTAGGTACCAATTTGTCTAATTTCAATGCAAGGTAATTTTATTAGATGGTCAGGCGCTCAACTCCAGCATCAGCAACATCTAGGTCTACAGGGCAGTTACAAGCAAATCCTAATAAACTATATTTATCTGAAAGCAATTGCTTTACAGCTGCTGCTTGGACAAACACTTGCATCTGCACAGACTCAAGATTCAAATCAGTCATGCTGAATTTACTAATCACATGAAAGAGCAAGATCTACTACACACTGTAAACTAAACATTCAGGGCCTGCCCCATCTTAGCTCGCGATGGGAAAGGCTGTTGTTTATTTAGCGTCCAGGAGCGAGTAGAGCAAGTCTTGGCTAGTAAAAGCTAACAGTTAGCATTAGCAACTCCACAACATGGTAGAACTCCTTCAGGATTCTGTTCTTTCTGGAGATAAAACATCAACATGGTAAAGCAAAAAGGGTCAGCGGCAGAATGAAACTAAATCCTGCTGTTTTCGGCTTTCCTCTCACCAGACTAACACACTTCCTGAAATAGGAGCGCCAGAGCTTTTTTTCCTCACACACATTATCTCAAAAGGCATCCTTTCACACTAGAGACCACTGCAAATGTCACTAATCTAATCCATCAGAGGCGGTGCACCAAGTTGTGTTCTGATTTAGAGTGTTGTGTTAATTAACGGACATTAGTCCTTCAATGAACTACATAATGAAACAATTTCCAAATGATTTATCTCGTGGCATCCTAAATGGTGCACAAAGCCCTTTATCTCACTGTGCTGTGACTGCTGGTAACCAGTTGAAGACAAAAAACTGACGATGGCTTTTGGTACAAATGTAATATTTGTGCAACATACATTGTGCATTATTCTTCTGCAAACATCTCTGTTGCAATTTAGCTACATGTCCTAATTATCTGTAATTAATCTGTTTTATTAGCAATTTTGTTGTGCTTCAAGCACAAATGTGCTTCACTGGTTGGCTACTCTTTCAAAAGTCATCACATATTGGTCACACGTTTTAACTAATCTAACTAAATTAAGAAGGATTCCAAATGACTCGGCGACTATTTTCAGAAGACGTTTGTCTTGCAAATATTTTTGCACGTGTTTAAAACTCCAGCAGCTCAAGAGTGAGGGTCTTTTACTTGTGAGGAAATTTAGAGCCCTCAGATATTTTAATGCATTTTTTTCAAACCCCCGTGTATATGCCACTTGCAATTTGTCGCCTAGTGAGAGATGAACTTAGGTTTCAAAACCACTAACAACACACAGACTCCATTTGTAACTTGACCGGGTGCTTTCTATCGTTGGCTCATTTTGAACCTTGACCAAAGATCTAAGACACCACTTGAAAATAATCACCTGCTGCATTAGATGATCATCCCCATTAGTGCTCCAATCACAAACTGAAATTACTAGACATGTTCCCCTGATTTAAGAAGAGAACCTGAACGTACCTTCATATTCTAATCATGTCCTTTGCAGGAATTAATATGTTAAATACAGCAAAATAATAGTTATGATGATGGTGATGGTGATAATATTCATGTTAAAAATGATAATGAAAATAATTATTATTTGATAAAAAATTGATAATAATAATATTAATAATAATAATGGCAGTAATGATAATAATATAATAAAACAATACATCATAATTAAATAATACATAATAATAATAATAAATATACTACTACTAATAATAATAATAATAATAATATTAACAATAATGTTGATCATCATGATGATTATAATAATGATAATAATAATAATAATTACAATAATGATAATAATGGTATGACACAATAAATAATATTAATAATAATATTAATAATAACAGTAATGATAATAATGTTGATGATAATTTTGAAGATAATAATAATGATCATCATGATGATTATAATAATGATAATGATAATATTAATGGTAATGGTGATAGTGATAATGAAAATGATAATAATGATAATGTTAATAATTATGACAATAATAATAATAATAATAATAATAACTACATTTCAAACTATGGAAAAAACATGTTCGGAGCTGAAGACACAGCCTCTGAACGTCTTTTAACTTCAGTGCTGTCTTAGTGAGACTTTCTAAGGAAAGCTAAAAGCCATCACGCTACTTATGTGGGAATTGTTCCTTCAGGAGCTTCCTGTCAGCCCGTGAAAGACACGAAACACTTGACAAGTGTGTCTCTGTAACAGTGCTTGGTGCTTTTCACCGCCACACCCATGCACATGTAAATATCCAACAAAACAGCTCAGTAATTTTATTGTTGGGACTTGTAAACTCCTCAGCCAGTTGCCGGTAAAGCATGGATATTTGGTACAATTAGTCCTCTTAAAGTTGGATTTTATTTGTTTATGACTAAAACTGGAAGTGACGATGCTGTTTGGTAAGGCTTTGTGCCGACAGGAGACGAGAAGGATCTTGAATGCTTAAATAAAACACATTGTGAATGCCTTCTGTTTTGCTGAAGTGCAATTTTTATCTCTACAGATTATCAGTGCAGAAATGATAATCTGCATTGCATGTTTGGATGTTAACCCATTAATAAATACTAATAATTTCCATACAAAGGGGCATCCTTTAGAAATAAACCATCATTCTGGTAAAGACAGATTATCTAAAAGGGAGAAAGCGTGGTTTTTGAAGCATGAGCTTCATGGCGGTCTCCTCTGTAAAAAGTAGGCACTGGTTTTATTGGATGAGCAGAGTCACAGAAGGCTGAGAGTGTCTGGGAGCAGGAGAAAGTCAATGCATCACGAGATGTGGAACAGATTTCTCCCTTTACTTATTGCAAGGTTTGTATTATTTAAGAAGTGTTCGCTGGGTTCATCCTGGCAAATTTTGTTAAACAATTTATGATTTAGCTCTGAATTGAAAGCGCACAGATGAAATTGATATTGATGCTTTCATCTCAATCTCAGTTAGACGACAAATGAACACATTTCCTTAAATCATGCTGTGCTCCATAAAAATGTTGACAGTCCCCTCTGAGCTTTTAAAATCTTAGAATAAAGGCTTGTATAGTCGAAATGTTAATTGAAACAATCAAAAGTTTCGTTTCTCTTTCTGACGTAAGCCTTTAACTTTGTCAGATTGTAATAATAGACAAAAACGTATTAAAATCTTCTCCTTTTAGCTGCTCTTTGTTTTCTATTCCACCCACTTCTGTCCTCAGGAGCCCTTTTTTTAACTTCATCCAAACAAGTTTAATCTAAACACATTTCTGCAAGCTGCTCGACAGCTTAAATCAGTCTAAAACCCAATGCATTAAACAGTATTTTCTTTTATCATTACTTTAATGCTCATGGTTTACATCCACATCAGCATTTTCATCCCCACCCTAAGTTTATACAGACTTATCTGGCCAAGGTTTAGACAAATTAGCATCTAAATACAGTATGCACTGGCGATGTTGCCGAAATGAGAGGGATTTAGAGCCAACTGAGGTGATTCAGAACCCTGGATAGACTGCTGACTTCAGTTGTCCATACCATTCCATTAGCCGACTGTAATTATTTGATAGCATATGGGTGGCTACCCCCTGATGCTGTTTCTTTTGCCTCCAGCATGTCTTCAAATGCATTACGCCGTTTGGACTTAAATCAGTAAAAACTTCCCTCACCGTCAGGATTTACCACTGCAAAGAAAATACGTTTGGGGGGCCAGCTTCATGTCTTGATAATTCCCACTCAGCATGCAATTTAAAATATTCCTCAATTATTTTCTAGTGCATCTGCAACTCTGTAGAGTATCGCCCCA